GCTTATAGAGGAGGGGGTGCTTAGAGAGGAGAGGTAAAAGGAAACATGGCATATCTAATTTTGCACTGCCCCCCCCCCCCCAAATAATAACCAGTCCCTTATATTTAAAAACTTCAAAGAAGGATGGCTAGCCTCTCAATCCATCCCCCTGAATTCACTCTTGCAGTCTTTATTTTACTTATAAATAATATCTGAATTTTTGCTATTGATTTGTAAAACAATGGACTTTCAAGGTGCTGATACATGGCGCAACATTACATGCAACTTTGCAAGCAACAAATTTGAATCGGGGTGACACAGATTGCAACAAAATCACGCAACATCGCTTGTTTCAGCCTGCTATGTTAAGATATTTGGTCAGCAGTTATAAATTTGGTGCAAGCTGATTGGCTGGAAATTTCAAAATGTTGCAGTTAATGTCGCAACCATGTTCACATGATGAAATTTGTTTCTTGCAATGTTGCAAGAATAGAGTGCAATTCAACTTCAGATTTGTTGCATGCAACGTTGCAACAAGTTTGGTGAGAAACGCTGCAACAGTCCTGTTGCGTGCAATGTTGCATGTGATGTTGCACTGTGTGTCAGCACCTTCAGGGACAAGATGCTTGTGGAAAAAATTTGGGGCATTCATTGGTTGCGGAAGGTGTGGAGGAGGGGGATTACAGTCCCCCACCCACCCTACTTTTTCCCTTTTTCTCATACTAGTCTCTTATATTTTCCAATCTTAGCCCCCATTTTTCCCATCCTAGTCTCCATTTTAGCTCCCCCATGTTCTAGAGCGTTCCGTGACCCCTAGCACTAAGATTGAGATAGATTAAGAGATAAGACGACGCATTGGAATAAAATAGCATTTAAAATTAAACGATGAAAGGCTTTGAAACTGATCTAAAACAGTTCTTAAAACATTCAAACTGAATTTTCAGTTAACTCTGATTTTATTGATTGCCACAATGGCGCTTAGTATCAGATTTTTTATCAATGAATAATGAAGCTAATGGAATAGACATAGGGAATTTTTTTCCTTTAGTTTTGTTATTCATTATTAAACATATCATTATTCTATTATTATTTATTCAGGAGGTAATTAGAACCATGAAGGAGGGCAGAACAGACATCTATGCTGACCCTGTTCTCCATGAAGCATGTGTTACAGACCTGATGCATTATTGCGAAGAGGTTCCCCCAGGACATGGCAGAGGTATGAAATTCATAATAGGTCACTTGCATTATGGCATATAGGCATTATAGTGTCATTTACTACAGCTACCAGAATCCCTTGCGCACTTTCTTTTGTTCAGTTAATTAGCACCAATTGTCTTACTATTCTCATGAGGAAATACAAATTTGAATGAGAAAGAAAAGAAGCATTTTGGTAGTAAAATGATACCATCATGCAAAATGGCATATTTCTCTGAATAGACCCCTTGCATGTGACATCAAAGCAGCTTATTTTGGAGGACAAAACAAAAGAATTTCAATCTCCTGAGAATTGGAAACCTATTGTCATGTCCTCCAAATTGAGCTGCATTCCTACATACTGCAAGGGGTCTGTGAACCTGATCCTTAGTGACCTCAAATACTTGTTTTAAGGAGCAAGTGTGGCTTGGTTGGTTAGTGTGCTGCCTGCTAAACAAGAGGTCCATACTTTGATCCTCAGTGACCTCACACACACCTGTTTTAATGAGCAAGTGTGGCTTGATTGGTTAGTGTGCTGCCTGCTAAGCAAGAGGTCCATAGTTTAATCCTCAGTGACCTCACACACTTGTTTTAAGGAGCAAGTGTGGCTTGGTTGGTTAGTGTGCTGCCTGCTAAGCAAGAGGTCCATACTTTGATCCTCAGTGACCTCACACACTTGTTTTAAGGAGCAAGTGTGGCTTGGTAGGTTAGTACTCTGCCTGCTTAGCTTTAGAGGTCCATATTTAGATCCAGATTGACCTTAAACACTTGATTAGGCACTGAATAAAGAAGAAAAGATTTATCTACAAGTTTCTAAAGCTTGGGAGGGTTTGTGTACAGCATGCTGTAATATATCTTTCTGGAAATTTCTGGGTAATAAATAAGAAAATATTACATGGATTTCCCTCCATGGGTGCGGAGTATTCTCAATGATTGTAACTAATTCCCGTATTTTCTCTTGCAGTAATGCAGTGCCTGTTGGAAATAAAGACTAAAAAGAGATATCGACTTAGCAAGAGCTGTAATTCTTTGCTTAATACCAGAATGAAAATGTGGGGTGTTGGAAAGGTAAGCGTGAATAGTTCAACTTTTCTTTGACTTGAAATTCTGAGTGATTATCTTTTCATTTCCCAGAAAATGAGATGAGAAATTTGTGAAAAAATAGCACAGGCATTTTTTATTCACACATATCTGATTTCATACATGTGTGATATTAGTGGACTAGATTCTACATATAATATTTGTGAGAAGGTTTTCAGGTACCACCTTCTGCAGCAACCAGCAATCATGAGCATCATCAATTAAATCAATCAGTCCATCAGTTAGTCACTCCATCCATCCATTCATCCATCC